TAGTAGCGTAGTAGGTTAGTTAGTAAGTAAAGTAAGTTACTTATTAGTTTTAGTTAGTTACTTTGTTTATTTACTTTATTTAGTTAGTTCTTCTACTACGTAACTACTCTCTCTCTCTCTCTCTCTCTCTCTCTCTCTCTCTCTCTCTCTCTCTCTCATGTGCACACGGGCACTTGCACCTAGCTCTCATGCATTACTGATGCACCAGTCCATGTCTGTTGTGCATAGGAAACTGAACCTAAATCAATCTCTGTTTCTCATGTGCATGCTTGGAAACCTTTGATGCAAGTTTACAGAAGAAATATGAATCTCTCTTGATTTGCCTTTCCTATATTATATCTGCTCAATAGTTCACATTTAATCTTTACTTCATTTTTGTGTAGCAGTGCTCTCTATCCTTCTGATATCCTCCCGGCCAAGTTACAAGTTCTGGACCCCAGAACCCAAACCACTGATACTTCTCTCTCTAACAAAATCATCCAAGGACTTCAATCGCTTGAAGCCGGCAATTTGAGGATTAGAAGGATGTGCGAAACCGTGTCTCAATATCTTAAGTCACCAGAAAGTTAAAAGAGCTTTTGAAACCAACTGGCATCTTCAACCCATGAACACTTCACCTTCTGCCAGGTTGCGCTTGGGGATTGTTTCAGATGTCGTTTGAAGCAAAGTAAGCCGAGATCCTTTCATTCTTTTTTTTTTCAAGAAATTTTGTAATTAAAATTTTTGCTTCCTGTTATCAAGGAATCAATATGTCAAACCATGCTTTTGCCATTCCCATCAATGTAAGGGCAGGAACGTCAAAGTACTAGACTGCGCCCATGTCTTTGGTAATAGTAGAAATGTTGGGGTGAGTAAATCTCTATCGTCATTGGCCATGTAATTGGGAAGCTTACTTCATATCCTCGACTCCAAATCAGCAGAAATGCTGGCTGATCTGGCCACAGGTTTCGTGTAGATTCAATGTGTTATCAGTCGGCAGAGACATGCACATTTTGCTGTAACTCCATTGGCTACTATTTCTCTACTGTATTTTTGTTAACCTTTTTTTCTAATCTATCTTCCTTTACCGTATGGCCTAGATTTGGTTTTCTTAACATAAAGGAGTTTGTTTTCTGCGTTTTTTTTTTTCTCCAAAAAGGGTTGCATTTGTTTCCAGTGGTAGCTCTTCTATATATCTACTGGATGTTTATGTTTTTCCTATCTTAATTTTTTTTTATTTAGTGCATAATCTTTAACCTTATCTCTTGCTATAAAAAAAGTTTTGATCCTTGAAATCAACAATTTTCATGGCAAATAAAACAAGCTTATTTTATTTTTCTTGTTCCTAGATCAAGTCATTTTCTCAACAGTGAGAAACATTTTAAGGGTACTTTTGTTTTGTGTGAAAATATTTTCCAAAAAATATTTTGACATAGAAAAATTTTCTTATGTGGTTTGGTGTGAAAATATGCACGGGGAGTAAGAAAAGGCACTCTAATTAGTTCCTTGATCAAACCAAGAAAAGGCAGGCAAGAAGACAATTTTCAAATGATTGGGAGTGGATCTAAAGTCATTGTAAAGTGACAGATTTCTCTGTTCCAATTCAAAGGGCCTTGTCGTAAAATTTGTAGTAGCCTGGGCCACATTAGAGCCAATCTCAATAATTGCTGCTACTGTCAGTCATCATGGTAAAGAGAGTACCACTGCATAGTGGCATTATACTGTTTGCTAATCTTCATTTGAATTTTGAAGAATCAGCAGCATGCCCATTTGGAATCTCCTGAGTTGGCTCGGACTTAGGGGGTTCCTGGTCGTCGATGCTCCTAGACTGGAAAATCGCCTAGGTTGTCGTGAACTGAGCAGTTCACTCATTTACTGTGAGAACTTGGGCGTCGATGCTCCTAGACTGGAAAATCGCCTAGGTTGTCGTGAACTGAGCAGTTCACTCATTTACTGTGAGAACTTGGGCGGTTCTTGCATCTTGGGTGTTTTTTTTCATCTTACATAATTTTTTTTTTTATTTCACTATGTAAACTGACTTACCCAAAATCAGCAAGTGCTTGTCATTTGAATATTGTTGCCAATTTACCACCCATGGATTGCCTGTGAGGGTATTTACATATGTATCATTGCATGGTAATTTGGTGATTGAGTACTTGATTGCTCGGGATAGGGTTATAACTTCGGGCTGGAAATGGCCATGTGGCCAAGACTGGCCTGTTCAGTCCGGCCTTGAATAATGGGGACTTGGGGTACAAAATGTAAACTATGGCTATTTTAAGGCCAGGTCACCATAGCCAGGCCGTGGCAGGGTGGGTCTTGTATATATATATATATTTTTTTTCTCATATTACCTTGGGGTTGATAATTCAAGAAAGTGGAATGTTGGTAGACAATAAAAAATATACCCATAGAAT